AAATCTCAACAGCTTACCTGTCGGTTAGTCCCCTCTCAGGTCTCAAAAAACATAGGGGAGCTATTAAGGTTTTTCTGAGAATTTTCCAATTCTCAAAGTTCACATGTTCTCTATTTTTCTTACAATGCATTTACTTAGGCTCTACCTACGTTAAAAGGGTAATGCAGACGCTGTGGACTCCGTGGACTCCGTGCTCACTACGCCTAGAGGGGTATCAGCTACACCTCATTGATGAGCCTTGAAAAAGGCTGAAAAGATTGTGCTCAGCTGCTGTATCTCTCATGCAGAGAGAACTTGCCGGCATTTCGGATCTAGACTTTCTTTATGGATGGGATCAGTCTGAAATACAATTGTCCGGTTTTCTCTCTGTAATGGCACAAGTGAGCAAAAAGATTTTCGAGCTGCGACTAAGTGAAGGGAAAGCAATTGAGGTTTCTCTGATCTTATTTTGCTTGTTCTCAGAGTCCTAATATTGTATGTTTTTTGTTTCAATTAAAAAAAAATAATAAGTTTGCATATTTTATGCAAGTGTAAAAAAAAAAAATTTGGGGGGGGTTTATACTATTTAATGATATGTTCAAACCAGTTAAGACAATAAATAAATAAACCCAACCCAAGCAATTCGTAGTCCTTTTAAGGATAGATTGCATGCGTTTCGTTTTTATGGCCTGGTTAAGGCACATACGTCATACTACCTGTAGGTGTCACTGTGTGCACACGTTTTCAGATTTTAACTTTGGCCTTTAGCTTTAGACAGGGACGTGTCTTCTCTGTAACCCACTCCATAGACTTCTAGCAAGGCCACCCCAGCCTGCCACTTCTTGATTTAATTGTCATTTTGTAGTGACCCTCTTAGCTTTCCACCCATTTATGTCCTATATGTATAAATGATTGTTAAGTGTTTTACGAAACCGCAGCTGTTTTATGTATCTGAAGAATGACAGCACCATAATTACTTAGCAAAACATGGAAAAATTAAATACAAATAGCTTTCCTGGGGCTTTATAGGAATATCATGCGGTTAGGTTTCTGAATGACGTTTGCTTAAAAACCGTAAAATGCTGAAATGTTCAAGGATGCTGATGAATAGTTTCACATTTAACCAGCTATTCACAGTTATTTATAGACAAAGATACAAATTTGTGAATTGTTCTTGTAGTATTTCAGACAGTGATAATAATTTTATATAATTTGGGGGGAACTTTCAAACATGGCTGTCGACACCTAAACACTGAATTCAGCATTATTTTTTATTTACCCATTTCCCTTTTGCCTGGTGATTAGGAATAGACAGGTTTTACATCACAAAAAAACAACAAATCGGCTTTCTTGGTAACACCACTGGTAAAGTAAGAGAGAACTGACTGTCACATCCAAACCAAATCAATAGTAATGACCTCAAACATACAAAATGTAGCCCTGTCCTAAAACTCCCACTACTCCTGGGCAGCAGTAATGACTGTAGTGCACATCAGCCTCACTACATACAATAAAAGCCAAAGAAAAATGTTACTTGCACACTATCCCAAATCCCTGTGCACATTTAAATACCTGGAGGTTTTTAGTATCAATCCAATGACCATTCAAGTGTAAGATCACCTGCCAAGTCAAGGCAAACCTCTTGGGTAAGTCCTACACACTAACAATTCACTTTGTTGCTTTAAACTAAAAGGTAAAATCTCTTATAAGACAGAGAGGGGTATTTTTCTAAACCCTACTTAGGGTTAGGATTTAGGCATGGGTTAAACTATTGGAGTTGGGGTTAGTGTAATGTTACAGATAATTTAGGTTAGAGGGTAGGAAAAATATATGGAGCTATAGTTGGGGTAGTGTTAGGGTAATTCTTGTTCTATTAGATGCATCTAAAAAAACAAAAAAAACAACAACAAAAAAAATCTTCTTTTATCATTATTTACATGGTACCAGATGCAAGTTTGCAAAAAAAAAAAAGAATTCAATAAAAACATCCAGCACCGTGGCATACAAAGAGGTTGCAGTGAGACTACTGAAGATAAAGTACATTTTAAAGCAGCACTGCTATTTTTGAGTGTGTTTGAAGATAGAATATATTTATTTGTTTTTAAAGTCCTAAATACATGTGGAATTCAGTTGGAACTCCAGAAGAGATAATAAGACCAAGTAGGGACTTACGTAACTGGCAAAATGTGAGAAGAATTGAAACTAGAAGAAACTTCAGCCTCCTCATCTCACCATTTCTCAACCAACGACTGATGGTGCAATGTGCAACAAACACCTATGGTATCTCATTCAATGTGCAAGATCCTTTACATCTGGCCAACCAGATATCAAGCCAATAAGAGTTGAAAACCGGACTGAAGATGAAGTTGACTTGGTTGACGAGGTTGCAAAACTACAATTCCTACATTTGGAAATATTTATCCATTATGGTTGTTATTGTACAGCTGCTAGAGGGACAGCTTTTGGCTAACTGTTTCAGGAAATGACTGATATAGTTTGTAAATGTAATGGCCTAAAATTCAAACTGGTGTTCATGAGGAGCATTTGTATAAAACAACGAGGCAAGTAAAACGAAGCCATTATAAGGGCAAAAAAAGAAAAGGTTGTAGCAAATTAGAAGGTTTAACTATATAGCTAACCAATAGCAAACCTGCCGTGGGTTGAAGGGGATGGTATATGAGGGGAAAAAGTGATATTTAATAATAAGCTTCCATTCTAGGTTCTATGTAGACACATCTTCAGCTTACCTATAGGGAAGTCTGTGCTTGGCAGTAGGAGAAGCTGTGGGTAAAGGGTACATGGAAAGTTAATTAGTGAGTCGTGCAAACTCACAGTTATTGAATGACCAAGTTTGTTGATTAATCAGAATGCAAGACTACACAATGTGGGTCCCAAATCGTGATATTCTCAGTTGGGATTTATGGAGGTTGTATAAAGGGTTTGAGGTTACAGATAATCAGTGACATTTTACCTCCACCAAGTCATATCACAGCATGTCACTCTGTCTCCTGACTACAGCACAGAGCGAAGGGAGCAGGAATTCTTAAAGGATAGACAGCTGCTTTTGTTCAAGAGAACAAACTGTATCAAAATAAAGTCTCACTCCAGATTATATAATGTGCTAAATAAACACCAGACATATAACTATTAATAGTGCTTCTTGAGTGGTAATGCATACTTGCAGCATTGTACATTGCATATACCAACATATCAATGTAATAAACTAAATAATTTAAAGGAAAACTCCAAGCACCATCACCACTGTGCTGTTGTGGTTGTGGTTTTGGTGCATACAGTGTTTCTTTAAGGGGAATAGGAAAATTAGATGAGGAATTGAAAGAACATAAACCTTGATTTAATAATTGTGAATAATCTTTTCAAAAGATTTTATATTTTTGGATAAACATTTCAAATGATTTTTATAAAAAAATATATCAAAAATATATCAGTATACCAAAAAATATCTAAATTTTAAAATTATTTTTTTAATTGAGGCCATAATTGGGTGTGTAGTTTAAAAAAAAAAAAGTAATCTTTTGACAATGTGTATATTTTCCTTGGGCAATAAATACTTAGTTTAAAACTTGGCTGTAATACTGAAGCAGAATAGGACAGAGACGCTAAACTGAGGACTGTCCGGAGAAATCTGAGACTATTGGTAGCTATATGTTATGAAGTGTAATGGGAGCAGGGCCGGACTGGGGATACAAAGCAGCCCTGGAAAAAAAATTTGAGCCAGCCCCATAAGTCACTGCGCCATATATTGTCGCGTGTAATATGTAAGGCTATGTCTTGCCAGGACAGATGATTGAGTAATATATATGTATATATATATATATTTATATATTGCTTTTTCTAATATAAAATATTGGTCCTTTCAGGGTAAAACGTTTAATTATACAGTAAGCATACGCACATGCAGACACAGGCAATTTCACTGACATTTCAGTGACACACACAAGCTCATTGATACACAGCCTCATAGACAAACAATCTTACTGATATACATCAGCTCATTGACATAAAAACACAAGCTCACTCACTAGCAGGCACACGCATGCAAGCAAGCTCACTCACTAGCAGACGCACACACACAGCTTAATGTGGTGGTACTGGTGTCTATAGCATGTCCCTACAGGCTTTTCAACGTAAACACTGACTTTTCAGACAAAAGGCAGTGTTTACATTGCTTCAAAGTGACACTGCTAGTGACAGTCACTCAGACGGTCACTAGAGGTGCTTCCTGTGTTAGTGCCCTCCCGCCCTCGCGCGCTGCTGAATGAGACTGGCGCCGGAATATGGCGTCATATTCCGGCGCCGGTCTCATTCAGCTGCGTGCTGGGGAGCAGAGCCAGCGCAGCTCGCGCAGCTCCCTCAGCGGCCGCCAGGACAAGTCCGCCAGCGGCCGCCAAAAGACCTCCCCAGCGGCCAGGGGAGGGCTGGCAGCCTTAGGCCTGGGGGGCAAAACCAGTCAAGTAGACTGGTGCACCTGCCCAGGATCAGAGCCGGTGCAAGGATTTTTGCCGCCCTAGACAAAATAAAAATTTGCTGCCCCCACATGTCACATCACAATGCCCCACCCATATGATCTGCCATATGAACTAACGCCAGTGCTGCACACAGTGTGTGTTTACATTAAAAAGCCTGCAGGGACCAGCTATAGACACCAGAACCACTTCATTAAGCTATAGTGTCCCTTTAATGTGAGGTAAATTATAGATTAGTGTCACTAATAATATACTAGATTGCCTACTTACAAGCAGATGAGGATGATGATGGGCTGCAGTTTGGCTCCACTGGTCTGGTGTAGAACAGGATCTCTGGAGGCTGTTTGCAACTGTGGTCACAAAATTCAATGTTCTGGGAGAATTGGAAGCAGCTCAATTTTTTTGGGCCCCTTACACAGCTCAAGGTCTGGGCCCCAGGGCCTGACGGTGAGTATGCCCATAAGGCCCACTCATAAGTTCCACCACCCATGAGTTCGCTCACAGGGAGTGGAGTGTGTAGGGGATGTGTTATGTGTTATTGTAGAGGATCTAATATGTGTGCTTATGGTATGTAGTGTTTAGGGTTACCAGTTTGTGCAGGTGATGCAGTGTGTTTGTGTGTAGTGGAAGCAGTGTGTATTTGTGTATAAGGGATGTATTATGTGATTCTGGTTGTGTGTAAGGGATGCATTGTGCGAATCTGTGTTTGTATGCATAAGGGATGCAAGGTGTGTGTCTGTATGTGTGTGCATGAGATGCATTGTGTTTCTGTGTGTATGTAAGAAAAGAAGTGTGTGTGTTTGCATGCGTGTGTACGGGTTTGCATTGTCTGTTTCTGTGTGTGTGCAAAGGATGCATTGTCTTTGTGTGTAAGGGTTGCATTGTGTGTGTGTGTGTGTAATGGATGCATTGTGTGTTTCTCTGTGTGTAAGGGAAGCATGTTGTGTTTCTGTGTATGTATAGGGATGCATTGTGTGTGTGTGCGCGCGTAGTGTGAAAGAGCTCCCTGTCTTGGCCCCTGTCCTATAGAGCTGCCCCTTCTTCTTATTCCCTCCCCTCTTCTTATTCCCCTCCCTCCCCTCTTCTTATTCCCCTCCCTCCCCTCATCTTATTCCCCCCTCCCCTCTTTTTATTCCCTCCCTCCCCTCTTCTTATCCCTCCCTCC